CTTTGAAATATTTTTTTTTTGTATTATATAACTTGGAAGTTTATATGTTATTAAAATGTTAAAATATTAGTTATTATTTGCTCCATATGCAAGTGATCGATATTCAGCCTCATTGCGTAAGTCGTAAATTAGGCTAAATTGTACGACTCGACAACATTGGCATTGTTTACTGTCGTGCTGAAAAAAGTAAACGACGAAATTTGTCGAAAACTATACAGTGCTGCCAAGTTTGTTCCGTTTTAATACACTAGTCGAGTGGAAATTTTAGGCAATAACGTGAAATTTTCGATACGATTCGACTCTCGAAAAACGACTTGCATTCGACACGACTCTCGCAATGAGGGTGATTTTCATCGCACACGCGCCATCATGTTCTGCACGACTGCATCATCGACTTTACACGATGTGCACAACTACTTTGTTTTGCACTCTTCAATATTTTTCACTGTTTCACCTGTTTTCTGCAAGATTTCTTTGACAATTGACAATTGCAGTCGTGAGGTACAAAATTGATGTTATTTGCATTATACCACGGCAATGTGTCCTTGGCATAGTGCCAGGTTCCCACGTCCGCCTAGAACAGTGGCCTACTCCTTATCTGTTGATAAATGACAGAATACGCAAAAAAAAAATATTTCAAAGCCTGCTAGTTTGTTTCTGGTAGTAATTTCTAAGTGTCGCAGTTTTGGTGTGTTCACCCTTTATGCTCATGCAACTGCTTTCTGAAATTTCTCAATTTGACAGCCTTTTCGAAAAATATTGCATTGCCACGCCTGACATGCGCTTTAATGTCGTTTGGCGTGAATTTCATATTATCACATTACATATTTTTTATAACTCTGCGCTTTTTGTGATTATGTAATGCCTCTTTTTACCAAATTAACCAAGGCGTGACCGAATTGTCCAATTTACTGTCCAATTCACTGTCTTCGAAAATCAAAGACAGTGACGAAGACAACCATGCAAAAATCGCATCTACTCCATTCATGTACTACCTAAGGGTCAAGGAGTACTCCAAAATTAACCACAATGCATATAAAAAATGTGCAGGACCATATACTCCAGCTCTGCATTACATCAGAGTAGGACAAAACTACTCCAACACATTAACAACCCGTTCAGGTATAAAGGTGAACAATTAGTCTCTTCATAGGACATGCTCGAACAAAAGCGATCAGTTCATTCCATATAAAGAGATCAAAAGTGGTATTAGTCGCATGCTCCTTTGCGATTGCTCTCGGAGTCATCCCGGATTAGTCCCATTTTTTGCAGGGAGGTTTCAGTTTTGTATACATGAACTACGCATAATTGTGTTAGTGCATGTGGCACAGGCAAACAAAACGAAATAGAAAACATGTTGTCTATGTGTGCGTGTCAGTCCACCGTCAATCCGCGATTTTCGCGGACTGAAATGAGCGAGGTAAACTCGAAATCTCTTCCCCCTCTTATCCACACAAAACCGGTTTTAGGCGGACTGAGCAGTCCAGTGTGCGGAGGCCCATTCACATTTCGTTAAAACACGAGCAGTGTTCGGGTAACAATAAGCTGGTGCAGAGACCAGCGTTGCCGAATTGACGATTTCGTCGTCATTTTGACGTTTTTTTAGCTCAATGTCGTGTTGGCGATATGAATTGTTGTCTTTCATAAATCTGTTGTGTTCTTTAAATAAATCTTCAACTAAATACTTTTAATTTAATTTCTTAATTGTAGTACGTATTTCTTTACTGAATACACCCGAATTTCGGGGGTTTCTACCAGTTTTAATAAATTGTCAGCTTAATTTCTTATAAAATTTACCTTTAGGTTTTTTCATCTTAAGCATACATCGAAATTTTGTTTTAGAGAATCAATGTGAAATAATTGCAGAAACGATTAACCGATTTGCTGTGCAACCGATTCGTCTGCTTTTTAAATAATTTTTGTAAAACAAATCGGCAAGTCCATATCATTCCCCGCATTCCAGAAACGTGCATGTGTAAAAATTAAAATTTTGTGAAATCAAGTATGACATTTTTTACGAGACTTAACTCTGCATTCATGTTATTGACATTGTGAAATATGTGCTTTCCATGTACGCACGGTATTCTGGGTTTTGGTATTACATAGGACATCCAAAGGTTAATCAAGTCAAACCCATAACTCAAAATTGATAAATTTGCACATTCATCATTCTGGCATAAGATCGACGATAATTATTTACTTCACATTTATTAATTTTTTATACGCCTGTCCTACATATCATCGTAGTCATATTTCAACACCTGAGTTGAAGATCGACCTATCTACCAGTTCGAAAACGCCCTATATCAGAAAACTTTTAAAGAACGCCGTACTTCAGAATTTGATTGAAGAACGCCCTATTTCAGAATTTTATTGAAAAACACCCTATCCCAGAAGAAGGCCCAATTCCAAATTTCGTTTCAAAAAACGCCCTATCTCAAATGAAAATGTATTAAAAATGTGCTGAGATAGGGCGTTTTTCAACCGAATTTCAAGATTGTCCAAGTTTTCTGAAATAGGGCGTTTTCGAACTGGCTGCCGAGATACGTCGATCTTCCGTTCAGGTGTCGATTTCCTGTTCATATTCCTCTATATCAGTGGTGCGCACGGCAGTCTCCGGGAGCTACTCGGCTTTCACAGACAAGTCGTGTGTGCGCAGCTACCGAACTTATGAGCCGCTAGCAGTCAGAGTTGCCAGATGTGCGGATTTCGCCCCATTTCGGGGATTTCCAAAACCATTTGGGGATAGATTTTTTCGTTTGGGGATGTGGGGATTTGATGGGGATTTTTGTTTAAAATATTCATATTGAAATTAAAATACATATATTTTACTGCCTGCCCTTAAAAATTTCTCAAACAAAGATTTTCTTTGTCTAAGCATTATTCGTGGAAAATGCCTGTTTTAATGGCTTTCGCTGAACACACAATTTTCTCTCACTTCATTACACCAAATTGTAAAAGGATCGCTGTGATTGGCATTTATAGTGGCTACACACGACGAACATATCCGCGCACATGTGCGCCAACATGCTCGCTGTCGTTTGCTACAAACGGCGAGCGGCTCATAAGTGATTTTGTACTCAAAGCGTAAACATGGAAAGGAAAGACGCGGATGATGCAATTGAAATACTTATGACTTAGGGTTTTTTATGTATGTGTTACTTAAATTTATTTATATTTTACTTATATGTATGTACATACATATACATATAGTAATTTAGCCTCATTTATCAAAAATTCAATTAACGCACATGGCTTGGATGCATTTATCCGCGATGTGCACACTGCAAGCATCAACACAAAGTGAGGTTGTTGTTTTTGTTTCCAATGCGATGCTCGCAAACCAC